AATATATTTGTAATAAAAATAAAACTTTGTATATCAATCTTGTTGGCAAATATCATAAATTGGAGATATGTCAGCATTTATTTAACTACTAAATCTAAATTACAATTTTAATTCAGTTTTAAGTTATTAGAAATTGTAATACATAACAGTCTTCCACTATTCTTCTTGATTATGCAAATGTCTTATATAACTACCAATTTATTAAGTTTCCATAAAAATCTCAAGATTACAAAAATTTCTACAGTTTCAAATAATTATATTTAGCTTGGTATTTATTAGAAATAAAGGTATAAAATTTTATCTCTGAGGAAAGCAATGGTTATGTTTAGTAATATCTATTTTTGTTGGACATTGTGCTTCTGAACTACATAAATAATTTTGTTACATCAAAATATGATGTACAACTATGGAATGAAATTTGTTTTTATTCCATCATTGACCTTAGTTTATATTCTGAATTTTAGGTTGGCTACTGTAATACCCTATACACCGATTTACCAGTACTGGTAAAATTAGTCTTTAAAAAACAAATGATAATGTAAAGATAGTAATTCATAAATATATATTTACTAAATTGCATTAATTCCTAAAACAACCTATATTCTTTCCACTTCACATTAATAATCACAAGGTTATCTTTGTACCAGTAGAACATCCTATACTTTTTGAGCACTTACTCTGGATTACAAGCTGGTCTGTCATGGGGTATCACTACTCTTGGTGGTTTGAGAGGCACAGAGGGAAGTATATTTCTATCTTGGAGCAAATTGATGTTTTCATTTCCCTGAAAACATCAAGAACAAATGATGTAAAATTTTATTCTTGTTATTACACCTCTTTCAGCAAGATGGAATACGCTCAACTCTTTCAACCTGAACTCGGTCTCTGGGACCTACCTCGTAACCATTTTGTGCTTGTTATAGTTTTCATGCTATAGCTTTTAAATTAGTAAACGAATGTTAACAAAATTTGGTAGTTTATCAGCAAACATAACAATGCTCACATACGTAAAATATCTAATTTTGTTATTAAGTCTTAAGGTTTGTAATGTAATGTTTTTCTCATGCTTTTTTTTTCTTTTCACATCTTGCCTATCTATCATGCAAAGTAATTTTCATTTTAACATTAAAAATACTTTTGTGCATCAGAAAAATTTGAAATTTCACATGTAAAATCATCATAATGTCCAGATAGTTATCAAACATTAATTAAGAAAAAACTTTATATTTTATCTGTTATTTTCAGTAATTAATCGCTGTACGGGTTCAGTAAATTTGACCGATCTCGCAACCACATAAAAAATTAAGAAATAAATATAAATTATGCCTCTTTCATTCTAGAATGAACACAAATTATAACATGAAAACATAAGTGTGTAGATGAAATAGATTAAATCTCAACATTATACATTTATATATATTTATTATTTTTATTACATTGACCTTTCACCCGTGCCTGCTAACGATACAAAAGTTACAGTGCACTCATGTTACCGTATCAAATAACATAAAGCTGACCTTTGGTCTGTACAAAGTAACTTGTCTTGGTTGTGTTTTAGTCAACTAGTATTTTGAAAAATAGTGTCAAATTACAGTTATTATAGACAAGTATATAGATTATTGCTATTTTGAAATAAGTTCTTGAAGTTATTTTTTCTAAAATATAAAACAGTAAATAAAGAAGTAAAGCAAACAATTACATCTTCTAGTTACAACCTTTGTACTCAGTTGCTGCTTGCTGCAAGTTGCTATGCCTTTAAAAATTTTGCACATGTAGGATATTAAACAAAATATTTTTTATACTTTTTACATTTATTTTTATATATTTTTATACTTTTGAATAACTAAAAAAATCATAAATTACTATGTTAATACCATAGAATTCTACTATAATTTATCAAACTTATTAACTTAGCTGTATTTGGGTCTAAAAAAAAATATAAAATTTTGAGCAGACTAAAGACACAGATTACCTCATTGAAATCTTGGTTTAAAAGAAATAAATGAAGCTAGGTACGTTAGAAAGGCTGAGAAAATCACTAGGGGGACATTCCAAGCTTTCAATTGGTTATTCATGTTATATATAGAAGTAAGTCTATATAAGGTAGAGATTCCAAAAATGGAAGGAAGTGAGCAGGGTGCCACTGTGTTTGATTTATTACATGAGCAATATCTTAGCAAACAGAAAAGAGAAAACCTTATTTTATATTCTAGCTTGTCAACATCTGTAAGTTGAATTTCTAATTCATATGAAACTATAGACGTAGTATTTTGACTACACATCTAATTTGAACCAGTGCTGCTTTCAACATATCACGTGAAACACAATATTTAATATTTAATTTTAATATTTCCTTTAAATCAACAAATTGAGTAATATATAGTTGTATTTGAATTAT